AAGTGTCAAAGAATTCAGCAGTGAAACTCTCTGGTCCTGGGGTTTTTCTTTTTTGGGAAGGTCTTTACTAATGATTCAATTTCTGTCTTGGTTATAGATTTGTATAGGTTCTCAGTGTCTTCGTGGCTCAATTTTACTATTGTATTTGCATCTATGTCTCCCTTTAGATCCTTTAACATTTCTTTTAAATAGCCAGGTGACTTGTAATTAGGTGTATATATGTTTATAACAGTTACATCTTCTTGTTGAATTGATATCTTAATCATTACATACTGCCCTTATTTGTGTCTTTTAACAGTTTTTGTATTAAAGTCTATTTTATCTAATATTAGGATGACTATACCAGCTCTTTTTTGCCTCTGTTAGCATGGTAGCATGGAATATCTTTTTCCATCCTATCACTTTCAGTCTGTGTGCATCTTCGTTGGTGAGATATATAAATTCTAGGCAGCAAATAGATGGGTTTTGTTTTTTTTAATCCATTCAGCCAATCTGTGTCTTTTAACTGGAAAGTTGAGACCATTTACTTTCAAGGTAACTATTGATAAGTAATTAATTGCCCAGCCATTTTTCCATAAATATTCTTATTTTTTAACTTTTATTTAATGAATATAAATTTCCAAAGTACAGCTTATGGATTACAATGGCTTTGTCCCCCCAGTAACTTCCCTCCCACCTGCAACCCTCCCCTCTCCCACTCCCTCTCCCTTCCATTAACATCAAGATTCATTTTCGAATCTCTTTATATACAGAAGATCAATTTAGTATATACTAAGTAAATATTTCAACATTTTGTACCCACACAGAAACACAAAATGAAAAATACTGTTTGAGTACTAGTTATAGCATTAAATCTCAATGTACAGCACACTAAGGACAGAGATCCTACATGAGGAGTAAGTGCACAGTGACTCCCGTTGTTGACTTAACAAATTGACACTCTTGTTTATGGCATCATTAATCACCATAGGCTCTTGTCATGAGTTGCCAAGGCTATGGAAGCCTTTTCAGTTCGCTGACTCTGATCATATTCAGACAAGGCCATGGTCAAAGTGGAAGTTCTCTCCTCCCTTCAGAGAAAGGTACCTCCTTCTTTGATACCCCATTCTTTCCACTGGGATCTCACTCGCGGAGATCTTTCATTTGGGTTTTCTTTTTCCCCAGAGTGTCTTGGCTTTCCATGCCTAAAATACTCTCATGGGCTCTTCAGCCATATCCGAATGCCTTAAGTGATGATTCTGAGGACAGAGTGCTGTTTAGGACATCTGCCATTCTATGAGTCTGCTGTGTATCCCGCTTCCCATGTTAGATCGTACTCTCCTTTTTTTTTTTTATTCTATCAGTTAGTATTTTCAGACACTAGTCTTGTCTGTGTGATCCCTTTGACTCTTAGACCTATAATTATGATCAATTGTGAACAGAAATTGAGCACTTGGACTAGTGAGATGGCATTGGTACATGCCACCTTGATGGGATTGAATTGGAATCCCCTGGTATGTTTCTAACTCTACCATTTGGGGAGGGTCCGATTGAGTATGTCCCAAATTGTACATCTCTTCCCTCCCTTATTCGCACTCTTATATTTAACAGGGATCACTTTTCAGTTAAGTTTCAACACTTAAGAGTAACTGTGTGTTAATTACAGAATTCAACCAATAGCATTAAGTAGAACAAACAAAAAATACTAAAAGGGATAAAGTATTAAGTTGTTCATCAACAGTCAGGGTGAGGGCTGATCAAGTCACCATTTCTCATAGTGTCCATTTCACTTTAACAGGTTTCCTTTTTGGTGCTCGGTTAGTTGTCACCGATCAGGGAGAACATATGATATTTGTCCATTTGGGACTGGCTTATTTCACTCATCATGATATTTTCCAGATTTCTCCATTTGGTTGCAAATGACCGGATTTCATTTTTTTTACTGCTCTATAGTATTCTATAGAGTACATGTCCCATAATTTCTTTATCCAGTCTACTCTTGATGGGCATTTAGGTTGATTCCAGGTCTTAGCTATTGTGAATTGAGCTGCAATAAACATTAAGTGCAGACTGCTTTTTTGTTTGTCAATTTAATTTCCTTTGGGTAAATTCCAAGGAGTGGGATGGCTGGATTGTATGGTAGGGTTATTTATATTCAGGTTTCTGAGGAATCTCCAGACTGACTTCCATAGTTGCATAAATATTCCTATTTTTTACTTTGAATTTCCTTTGTCTTCTATTGGGAGAGTTTTGCCTTCACCTTCTTTCATAGTGATGACCTTATTTCTGTGTTTCTTTGTGCAGCACATCCTTAAGCACTTCTGCAGGTCTGGACGGTGATGACAAATTAAATTTCTGTTTGTCATGAAAGGTTTTGATTTCACCTTCATTCATAAATGAGAGCTTTCCAGGGTATAGTATTCTTGATTGACAGTTCTTTTCTCTTAAGACTTGGCATTTATCTGGCCATTCTCTCCTGGTCTGTAGGGTTTCTGATGATCAGTCTGCTGTGGGTCTAATTGGAGATCCTCTGAAAGTAATCTGGCATTTCTCTTATGCACATTTTAGAATCTTTTCTTTATGCTTTACTGTAGAAACTTTGACTACAATGTGTCATGGTGAAGCTCTTTTCTGGCCATGTCTGTTAGGGGTTCTATGTGTTTCCTGTACTTGGATGTCTATTTCTTTCTCCTAATTAGGGAATTTTTCTGTTATTATTTCACTAAAAAGACCTTTTCATCCTTTCTCTCTTTCCTCACCTTCGGCAACTCCTAAAACCCATATGTTGGGTCCTTTAATAGTATCCTCTTGTGGTGGAATGAGAAGGCCATACCAAGATGGCCACTGGCAAGCAAGAGTCAGTTACTCAGGAATGGCTTTGAAACCCACCTGGCAATGGAGCCTGCCTGGCAACAGGCTGTGATTGGATGGCTTCAGATACTGCCTGGCAACAGGCTGTGATTGGTTAGGGCATAAACCGCTCCTTGACCGGATTGGCTGCCTTGGCTATTTAAGCTGCTGTACCAACTGAAATAAGTCTGCGGGCTGCTCACCTCTGGCCTGCTTTCACCCGACTCCCAGGGTCTGTGTGGTGACTCTGCACCTCTTGCCCCCACCACGCTCCTCCTCTCAGAACGAATCCACAGCAACATTCTGTAAATTACCAATAGTGTTTTTTAGTTTTCTAATTTCTTCTTGTGTTTGGTCTGACTGTATAATTCCCTGTGATTTGTCTTCTAGGTTGAATATTCTTTCTCCTGCTTCACTGATTCTGTTCATATGGCTTTACATTACATTTTTCATTTATTCTATTTAATTCTTCACTTCCAAGATCTTTAAGTTCTCAATTCCACAGGAGAAATTTTCTTTCATGTCATGTTCAGATTTCAGCAGTTATTGCATTTGCTTCAGACTACTCCTGTGTAATCTTATGATCAATTTTTTGAATTCCATTTCTAACATTTTTTTAATCTCATCTTCTTCACAATCTAGTATTGAAGTGCTGTGTTCTTTCGGGGGCATCATATTGTCTTCCTTATTCTTGTTTCTTGAATTGGTGCATTTGCTATTCGGCATTTGTGGAGATACTCGTTAGTTTCTTCTTTGCTTTTTCACTGTGGCAGCTTTTATCTTTGTGCTATGCCTCTGTAGATTAGTGGACTTTATGCTTTTTGTGACTCTAGAGTTGTGTAGTGGGTGTGGCCAGAAAGCTCTGTTCAGTTCTCCAGGATGAAGGGTGTGTCTAAGGTGACACACCATGTTTTGGCATCATAAATCTCCTTTTTTAAATTTTTTAATCAAATGTGAGGTTTATTCTACTCAGCTGAACTCCTCTTTGCAAAGAAGACCAGTGCCTGAGCACTAGCCCCAGTGACTATAATATTTGTATGCATTGTTATAAGGACCACACAGCTGTTCCGTATGTCCAAAATTGTTCCTGATTGATGGGCTTATTACAGAACAGTTTCAGGGTGATCAGGAACACAGAAATATGCCCTTCCTTTCTTTTTTTTCTCCTCGAGTTTGGCAGGTGCACTATCCCCCAGGGGACTCCAAGCCAGGTTCCCTCTAGGCTCTTTATGCAGCTTTATTGTCAGTGGCTTGGTCTGCTGCAGTCTGGCCTCACCTCATTCTCCAGTGCTGCTGGTATGGAAGCTCTCAGCTGCTGGGGTCCAGAGTTGTGGGTGTCCACGCCCTCCGCGTAGGTCCACTGTGTCCCTCTAATTTGTGTAGAGTTTCCCCTGCCATTTTCTCCTTAACACTTCCCTGAAGCTACACTCCACTTTTTTTTAAACTATCTTCTAGACTAGAGTTGTAAGTTCCCTCCCTACTCTAATATCTCAGAAGCCCATCATGACCATACTTCTAACTACCTGTAACCATCTGTCAGCATCACCCAAAATGTTATTTTAATCCAATTACGTAGCACTAATATTGTTATCTGGAGAAGGAACAAGGGGCTCTATCACCCAGTGCTCACACAGCAGCACTATAGCTCCTGGCTTTGTTCCCAGCACTGCATTATGGCAGCCTGTGGAGACCTTTGCAGAAGGTATTGCCATTCAATAATTTGTCTCCCCTCCACCCTCATTCAGGATGGAACAGTCTCTCTCTCTCTCTCTCCCTTTCTCTAGGGGAACTAGCAGGAAATTCCCATCTGTTCCCTCCCAGACTGTACAGAGAAAATTTTCTCTAAAGGTTTGTGGAGGCAGCTAGCTGGATCATGAGTCATTGTTTTCCCTGGAAGCTGCATTTCCTTCTCTCTACCACTATGTTTTCATCCCGACATTGGAGAAGGCCCTGTGTGTAGTTTCCCTTTCAAGTCTGACACAAGCTGCTTTCATTATCTCATAGGAATGTTTAAGAACTAAAATGGCTATGAGATATAATGGAAATACACAGAAAATTTCTCTTTCCTTCACTTTTTAATTTCTTGACTCATTTTCATTTTATAAAAACCCAGAGGTAAAACAATTTTCAAAGCAGAAAATGACTTACTAATCAAGAAACACATGAATTGGAAATCTGCAAATTTAAAACTATATATTACAAAGAAAAATAATGTTTTCTTTATTCTCTAGTGGAAAATAGTACATGGCATGAAATTACACAAAAATGATAGTCTACTGGTTTAGAACTGCATAAGCTTAGAAGCATGTAGTTTTGTCCTTTGATGCAATTCAACAAACGTTTCCTAGATGCACACTGAATACCAGACACTGTGCTAAGCACTGGGCTCACATATACAAACAAGATACGGACTGTCTCTCCAAAAGCTCATTTTCAGGAGAAAAGAAAACAGATAAGTATATGACTAGAAATGATATCATGGTGATAAATGTCATTATAACACAATGAGCAATTTCCTATAGGCACCTAAAGGGGAGAACCGTCAGGTCTATCAGACAGGATTTGAGCAGCCCTCACAGAACAGGCACTATTTGAACTTGGGCTTGAAGAGACAATAGCATTTTTAAATGAAAAGAATGGGAGAAAAAGCAGTGTTGATGGTAGAGTGGTGAGCACAGCTGCCTTCCAAGAATGAGAGAAAAGGCATTTCACAAAGAGGAAAAGCATGAACAGAGTTGTGGAATGACACAGCCTGACAGAGGCTGTTACAAAGTACAAAACAAATGGCAGCTGTTGGGTAAAAGTAGGAAGGAAACAAAATTGAAATTAAAGTTGGTATAGTTGCTGAGGGTCTCAAGAACTGGTGTTTAAGCTGAGAAGTGGCATGCTTTCAGATCTCTCTTTTAGACTGGAGCCTCTGGTCCCAGCTGCCAGGGGTGAATTGGGGCAGGGTGACACTGGAGGTAAGAAGGCTGCTGAGGGGCTAAACATGAAGGACAGTGGCCTGCACTAGGACCGAGGAGGAGGTTATAGACACATAACATCAGCACTCACTTCTTGGTAAATCTGTCAGCCTTAATTTGACTTTTTCTCTTCATAGTCACAACCTAATTGAAATGCCATTGCCACAAAGATGAATTTTTGAGGGAACTGAATTACAGTTATCAGTCAGACTGAGAAGCAACAGTTGGTGTTGTTGATAAACCACCCCCATAGGCCTTCCAAATCTGGCTCTCTACATTGACTGACAAATAGGAGTTCACTCTCAAATTGTTTCATTTGAAACCTCTGGCTTTACTTCAGGTTCCTAATGTGTTAAAAAGTATATGGGGTGGTAGACAATCTTACAAAACATGTACTATCTGCGTAGGACTTTCTAGAACAATGCCTGTCAGTTAGTAAGGACTCAATCAATAGTAACTTTTTCTATATTTGCAGGCAATCATGATGATAAATATAGTGACCTCTGTTACAAAGCACCCCTTCCCTATGCCAAAATATAATTTCACAAAATCTGCACAAAATTACAGATAGATCAATTGTTCTTTTCTATGTAGATAAAAACAACAACATGTTGATGTAATTTTCTGATCAACATGATAGAATCCAGAACAGAATCCATAGATAAGTATATAAAGCATATTCATAGAAAAAGAAAATGATTTAGACCCCTATCTTGGAATTCCATGTCCATTAAACTTTCTGTCATGTGGTACAATTTCACATTGTTTTCCTAACTCAGCCTCACACTGGAAATCTCAGCAGGTTTAGTGTCTGACACTTAACTTCTAAGCTGATCTCAATAGTCATCCTCTGGTAACTCAGCCAAATAGACAACAAAATGAACAAGGATAACACGGACAATATTCTATCTTTGACACTTTATTATAAGGAGCTGTTACTAGTCCCTAACAAACCCCTACCATCTATTTAATCTAGTTTCTGTATTCAGTCTTCATTTGGGTATGAGGAAACATAAGCAATCCATAAATCTACTAATTGAGGACATTCAGATGGGCCAAAATGCCTTCTAAAAGTTCTGAGCAAAGATGATGGATCATCAACTCATGATAACTTGCAAGGACTTCATCTCACTGATTGGTAAAAAATTATTCCTCAAGTCTAAAAACTCTCCTGATTCATTCTGTCTCTGAATTGCTAAAAGTTATAAATATCAATACCCTCAAAGAGAAAACAGTGGTGGAGAGAAGAAAAGGGAGATCAGTTTATAGTTCTGAATTGTTGACCTTCATGAATTGCTCTCATTGATGAATGGGAGGAAGACCACCCTCTGCAACCTTGCCTGTTACTGTGGTGCTCAGTGGCTGCCTCCAGGAAAGAATGGTCCCATGGAGATCTTGCTCATCATCAACCAAACTGAAAGAGAAGAAAATATATTTTATGTACTTCCTCCTGGCCTTATCAAGCAGCAATAAGATTTGCAGATGCTCCAAAACAATGACCTTTATCTGACTGTAATATTTTTTCCTTCCTGGCCAAACAGCTAACCCAAGATCAAACCATCTTGTCACAAGTTCCAACTACATCAAAATACATTTTCTTTCAATGCAATACCAATCAAGATACCGAAGACCTTCTTCTCAGATCTGGAAAAATTGGTGCTGAAATTTATATGGAGGCACAAGAGACCTCGAATAGCTAAAGCAATCTTGTACAACAAAAACAAAGCCGGAGGCATCACAATACCAGATTTCAGGACATACTACAGGGCAGTTGTAATCAAAACAGCATGGTACTGGTACAGAAACAGAAGGATAGACCAATGGAACAGAATTGAAATACCAGAAATCAACCCAAACATCTACAGCCAACTTATATTTGATCAAGGATCTAAAACTAATTCCTTGAGCAAGGACAGTCTATTCAATAAATGGTGCTGGGAAAATTGGATTTCCACGTGCAGAATCATGAAGCAAGACCCCTACCTTACACCTTACACAAAAATCCACTCAACATGGATTAAAGACCTAAATCTACGACCTGACACCATCAAGTTACTAGAGAACATTGGAGAAACCCTTCAAGATATTGGCACAGGCAAAGAGTTTCTGGAAAAGACCTGGGAGGCACAGGCAGTCAAAGCCAAAATTAACTATTGGGATTGCATCAAATTGAGAAGTTTCTGTACTGCAAAAGAAACAGTCAGGAGAGTGAAGAGACAACCGTCAGAATGGGAAAAAATATTTGCAAACTATGCAACAGATAAAGGGTTAATAACCAGAATCTACAAAGAGATCAAGAAACTCCACAAAAACAAAACCAACAACCCACTTAAGAGATGGGCCAAGAACCTCAATAGACATTTTTCAAAAGAGGAAATCCAAATGGCCAACAGGCACATGAAAAAATGTTCAAGGTCATTAGCAATCAGAGAAATGCAAATCAAAACCACAATGAGGTTCCACCTCACCCCGGTTAGAATGGCTCACATTCAGAAATCTACCAACAACAGATGCTGGCGAGGATGTGGGGAAAAAGGGACACTAACCCACTGTTGGTGGGAATGCAAACTGGTCAAGCCACTATGGAAATCAGTCTGGAGATTCCTCAGAAACCTGAAGATAACCCTACCGTTCGACCCAGCCATCCCACTCCTTGGAATTTACCCAAAGGAATTTAAATTGGCAAACAAAAAAGCGGTCTGCAGTCTAATGTTTATTGCAGCACAATTCACAATAGCTAAGACCTGGAACCAACCTAAATGCCCATCAACGGTAGACTGGATAAAGAAATTATGGGATATGTACTCTTTAGAATACTATACTGCAGTAAGAAACAACGAAATCCAGTCATTTGCAACAAAATGGAGGAATCTGGAACACATCATGCTGAGTGAAATAAGCCAGTCCCAAAGGGACAAATACCATATGTTCTCCCTGATCGGTGACAACTGACTGAACACCAAAAAGGAAACTTGTTGAAGTGAAAGGGACACTATGGGAAACGGTGACTTGATCAGCATAGCCCTGACTGTTAATGAACAACTTAATACATTATCCCTCTTAGTAGTTTTTTTGTCTGTTCTACTTAATATGACTGATTTAATTCTGTAATTAATACACAGTTATTCTTAAGTGTTGAAATTTAACTGAAATGTGATCCCTGTTAAACATAAGAGTAGGAATAAGAGAGGGAAGAGATGTACAATTTGGGACATGCTCAAGCTGACTTGCCCCAAATGGTAGAGTTAGAAACATACCAGGGGACTCCAATTTAATCCCATCAAGGTGGCATGTACCAATGCCATCTCACTAGTCCAAGTGATCAATTTCAGTTCGCAATTGATCATAATGAAAGGACTAAGAGTCAAAGGGAGCACATAAGCAAGTCTAGTACCTGCTAACACTAACCGATAGAATAAATAAAGGGGAGAGTGATCCAACATGGGAAGTGAGATACTCAGCAGACTCATAGAATGGCAGATGCCCTAAATAGCACTCTGGCCTCAGAATCAGCCCTAAAGGCACTCGGATCTGGCTGAAAAGCCCATGAGAGTAGTTCAGGCATGGAAAGCCAAGACACTCTGGCAAAAGATCTCTGTGAGTGAGATCTCAGTGGAAAGAACAGGTCTTCAAAGAAGGAGGTACCTTTCTCTGAAGGGAGGAGAGAACCTCCACTTTGACTATGACCTTGTCTAAACAAGATAAGAGTCGGAGAACTCAAGGGGCTTCCATAGCCTTGGAAACTCATGACTGGAGCATAGGGAGATTACTGATGCCATAGACAGGAGTGTCAATTGGTAAAGTCAACAACAGGAGTCACTGTGCACTTACTCCTCATGTAGGATCTCTGTCCTTAATGTGCTGTGCATTGAGATTTAATGCTATAACGAGTACTCAAATAATATATTTCACTTTGTGTTTCTATGGGGGTGCAAACTGTTGAAATCTTTACTTAATGCATACTAAACTGATCCTCTTAAAAAAAAAACAAAAAATAAAAAGAAAAGAAAAGAAAAGAAACTATCAACTCCCAACTTGACTCTCACTGGGATTAAACATGACAATAGGTCTGATCTGATTTCATCATCATTAAAAAAAATCATCTATTATTTTTAACTTTATGTTTCTGTGTGGGAGCAAACTGTTGAAATCCTTACTTAATGTATACTAAGCTGATCTTCTGTATATTAAGATAATCGAAAATGAATCTTGATGTGAATGGAAGGGGAGAGGGAGTGGGAAAGGGGAGGGTTGTGGGTGGGAGGGACGGTATGGGGGGGAAGCCATAGTAATCCATTATTCGTACTTTGGAAACGTATATTCATTAAATAAAAGTTAAAAAAAAAAAAAAAGAAAAAAAAATACATTTTCTTATCAAAGCACTTGAATTTCAAAAAAATAGATTTGTCAAAGTGCAGAATAAAATCCAAGCACTAGGAGCTGGTGTTGGGGCATAGTAGGCAAAACCTCCACCTGAACTGTCAGCATCTCATATAGGAGACGGTTCATGTCCCAGCTGCTCCACTTCTAATCCAGCTTCCTGCTCATGGTCTTGGAAAAGCAACACAAGATGACCCAAGTGCTTGGATACCTACTACCCACATGGCAGTCCTGGAAGAAGCTCCTGGTTTCTGGCTTCAGCCTGGCCCTGCCCCAGCCGTTGCAGCTGTCTTGGGAGTGGACCAGTGGAAGGAAGATTCTCTCTCTCTCTCTCTCTCTCTAACTCTGACTTTCAGATAAATAAATAAATCATTTCAAAAAATAAAGACATCCAAACACTAAAACGTTAAGTAATTTAACTCAGGTGGTGAGTGAATAGCAGAGGCAATATTAAAAGATATGAAAAACTAAAGTGGGGCAGGCATTGTGGAACAGTGAATAGAGCTGCCACCTGCGAGGCTGGCAACCCATATTGTTGCCAGTTAGTGTCCCAACTGTTCTACTTCCAATTCAACTCTTTGCTAATGGTCTGGGAGGTCTAAGAAAAGCAATAGAAGACAGCCTAAGTGTTTGGGCCCCTGTCACCCATATGAGAGACTGGAATGAAACTTCTGGCCCTGTCTTCAGTCTGGGCCAACCCTGGCTGTTGCCACCACCTGGGGAGTGAGCCAGCAGAAGTAATCTCTCTCTCTCTCTCTCTCTCTCTTTCTCTCTCTCCCCCTCCCACCCAATCCTCCTCTCTCCCTCCCTTCCTTCCTCCTTCTCTGTAACTCTAACTTACAATTAAATAAATAAAAGTCTAAAAGAAAAAAATGTTATAATCGGCTTAGACAAGGTCACTATTTAGATACATTCGATAGTGACAGTTGAGAAATCTTTATTCTAAACATGTGAATTGGACAGTCTATCACATGTGAGATATTAGAGATATGGATTCTGCCCTCAGGGAGCTCAATCTTGGGAAGGAAAATGAACAATGAGAGGCAAGATCAGTGCAGTCACAAAGTTTAGGAATGGCTGAAGTACAGAGAATGAAGGCACGTCCTTGACACCGTGACTCTGCAGTGCTTGGCTGGTGAGACAGTCATGAAGCCCAGTCTGGTCTGACCAGAGTGATTATACTTCCTTCTATCCCCCAGCCTGATCAGGGCTTTGTTATTCCCCTCCCACAATCCACATGTCCACAGATGAAAATTTCAGCAGCCACCCTGAGAATGCTTTCTTTTGAAAGGGACAGAAATTAAATTCCAATCCTAGTGAGCAAAAATGGGATTTATTGGAAGGATGGAATTGTTCATAGCACAAAACCAATTATTTCAGGACAGGAAGCTTAGGGATCTTGGGGACAGGAACTTGAGACTCAGTTCTATCAGAAATCAGAATTCTTTCTCTCATTATGCTTTTCTCTGAGTGGAGACAGCAGTGCTGGGCAACTTGGGAATCATACCCTTCCTGTTTCATGATCAGAGGAAAAGAGATGAATTTACTAGTATTTTTACTAACACTTGAGTTGCTATAAGATAGTATTTTCATTATTTTTGAGAAGATGAAATAAAATAATAGAGCATTAAGTAATTTACTTTAAGTGATTGGTAAAGAGCAGAGGAGAATTCAAGAGCAGGTTGGTTGTAATTCCAAAGCTACTTCAATGCATCGAACAGCTTATCAACATTTGCTGAACAAATAAATCAGTGAATATATGCCTCATGGATCTGAGTTTATGGTAAGCCTTTTCCAAATGCCACTTTGTTCCACTGAAACCATCCTCATCCAACCTACAGACCATCAGCAATTCCATTTTACTATACAAAAATCCGTCAGACTTGAGGCAGCTCCAGCCAAGAAGAAAAAATACTCCAAAGATTCTGATTGTTCTGGTTTTGAAGAGTACTGGATGCTGCTAGGAAGAGCACCAAGGGCTGCCCAAGAGGTCTACACGAGATGAAGGAGTCTGGGCTGGAGACTGAATACCAC